CAAAAAATGGGTTTGAAAACTGTTGCTGTTTTTACTAAACAGTATTTACGCTATTCACATCAGATAAGACATTTATGAAATAATAAACAAAAGTATGGTATAATAAGGGGGAAGAGAGGCCAGAGAGAGACTAAAAAGAGACCAGAGAGAGACTAAAAAAAAAGAGGCCAGAGAGAGACTAAAAAGAGACCAGAGAGAGACTAAAAAAAAGAGACCAGAGAGAGACTAAAAAGAGACCAGAGAGAGACTAAAAAGAGACCAGAGAGAGACTAAAAAGAGACCAGAGAGATACTAAAAAGAGACCAGAGAGAGACTAAAAAGAGACCAGAGAGAGACTAAAAAGAGGCCAGAGAGAGACTAAAAAGAGACCAGAGAGATACTAAAAAGAGACCAGAGAGAGACTAAAAAGAGACCAGAGAGATACTAAAAAGAGACCAGAGAGAGACTAAAAAAAAGAGACCAGAGAGAGACTAAAAAAAAAAGACTAGAGAGAGACTAAAAAGAGACCAGAGAGAGACTAAAAAAAGAGAAACCAGAGAGAGACAAAAAAAAGAGACCAGAGAGAGACTAAAAAGAGACCAGGGAGAGACTAAAAAGAGACCAGAGAGAGACTAAAAAGAGACCAGGGAGAGACTAAAAAGAGACCAGAGAGATACTAAAAAGAGACCAGAGAGAGACTAAAAAGAGACCAGAGAGAGACTAAAAAGAGACCAGAGAGAGACTAAAAAGAGACCAGAGAGATACTAAAAAGAGACCAGAGAGAGACTAAAAAGAGACCAGAGAGAGACTAAAAAGAGACCAGAGAGAGACTAAAAAGAGACCAGGGAGAGACTAAAAAGAGACCAGAGAGATACTAAAAAGAGACCAGAGAGAGACTAAAAAGAGACCAGAGAGAGACTAAAAAGAGACCAGAGAGAGACTAAAAAGAGACCAGAGAGATACTAAAAAGAGACCAGAGAGAGACTAAAAAGAGACCAGAGAGAGACTAAAAAGAGACCAGACGATAATCACTAATTCTCAAGTGGGACACAATGAGAAGAATAGTAATAGTAACTAGAAACTTGCAATGGCTGAAGCCATTGCGATTGACTGCGGAACAGATCTAATGTGGAAATCTGCTAAAAAAAATCCTTGAAATCCTTTAAAAGGCCTTGAAACTGTTAAAATACTTGATAGATATTTGAAACTCCTGAAGTCCTTGAAATTGTTGAAACCTTTAAACTCCTGAAATCCTTGAAACTGTTGAAACATTGAAACTCCTGAAATCCTTGAAACTTTTTTAAACCTGGAAACTGTTGAAAGTGTGGAAACTCCTGAAATCCTTGAACCTCCTGATATCCTTGAAACTGGTTAAAATTCTTAAACAGTTGAAATCCTTGAAACTACTGAATGTATTGAAAGTGTCCTTGAAACTGAAAAATCCCCTCACCGCTGAAACAATTTGGTTCCTGTAACTAAGGAAACCTGGTCTGTGGTCATTATCTGGTGGTGGTCTGAGTCTTCGTTTGGGTCTTGGTCTGGTGGTATAATGCAACCTATTAGGTTGCATTATACTGGTTTACATGGAAAAATCCGTAATAGGTTGCATTATACTGGTTTACATGGAAAAATCCCTATTAAGTTGCATTATACTGGTTTACATGGAAAAATCTCTATTAAGTTGCATTATACTGGTTTACATGGAAAAATCCCTATTAGGTTGCATTATACTGGTTTACATGTACAAATCCCTATTAAGTTGCTTTATACTGGTTTACATGTAAAAACCCCTATTAGGTTACATTATAGTGGTTTACATGTAAAAATCCTTATTAAGTTGCATTATACTGGTTTACATGTAAAAACCCCTATTAAGTTCCATTATACTGGTTTACATGTAAAAACCCCTATAAAGTTCCATTATACTGGTTTACATGTAAAAACCCCATTAAGTTGCATTATACTGGTTTACATGGAAAAATCCCTATTAAGTTGCATTATACTGGTTTACATGGAAAAATCCCTATTAAGTTGCATAATACTGGTTTACATGGAAAAATCCCCATTAAGTTGCATTATACTGGTTTACATGGAAAAATCCCCATTAAGTTGCATTATACTGGTTTACATGGAAAAATCCCTATTAAGTTGCATTGTACTGGTTTACATGGAAAAAACCCTATTAAGTTGCATTATACTGGTTTACATGGAAAAAACCCTATTAAGTTGCATTATACTGGTTTACATGTAAAAACCCCTATTAAGTTGCATTATACTGGTTTACATGGAAAAATCCCCATTAAGTTGCATTATACTGGTTTACATGGAAAAATCCCTATTAAGTTGCATTATACTGGTTTACATGGAAAAATCCCTATTAAGTTGCATAATACTGGTTTACATGGAAAAATCCCCATTAAGTTGCATTATACTGGTTTACATGGAAAAATCCCCATTAAGTTGCATTATACTGGTTTACATGGAAAAATCCCTATTAAGTTGCATTGTACTGGTTTACATGGAAAAAACCCTATTAAGTTGCATTATACTGGTTTACATGGAAAAAACCCTATTAAGTTGCATTATACTGGTTTACATGTAAAAACCCCTATTAAGTTGCATTATACTGGTTTACATGGAAAAATCCCCATTAAGTTGCATTATACTGGTTTACATGGAAAAATCCCTATTAAGTTGCATTATACTGGTTTACATGGAAAAATCCCTATTAAGTTGCATAATACTGGTTTACATGGAAAAATCCCCATTAAGTTGCATTATACTGGTTTACATGGAAAAATCCCCATTAAGTTGCATTATACTGGTTTACATGGAAAAATCCCTATTAAGTTGCATTGTACTGGTTTACATGGAAAAATCCCTATTAAGTTGCATTATACTGGTTTACATGGAAAAAACCCTATTAATTTGCATTATACTGGTTTACATGAAAAAACCCTATTAAGTTGCATTATACTGGTTTACATGGAAAAATCCCTATTAAGTTGCATTATACTGGTTTACATGGAAAAATCCCTATTAAGTTGCATTATACTGGTTTACATGGAAAAATCCCTATTAAGTTGCATTATACTGGTTTACATGGAAAAATCCCTATTAAGTTGCATTATACTGGTTTACATGGAAAAATCCCTATTAGGTTGCATGATTACACTGAAGTCCTTGAAACTGCTGAAGTCCTTGAAACTGCTGAAGTCCTTGAAACTGCTGAAGTCCTTGAAACTGTTGAAGTCCTTGAAACTCTTGAAATCTTGAAACTGCTGAAATCCTTGAAACTGTTGAATCCTTGAAACTGTTGAATCATTGAAACTGTAGAAATGTCTGAAAGAGCTGAAGTCCTATTAAAATGCATGGGCCTATTAAAATGCATTGCAGAATTCTCAATGCAGATTTTTGTCCGATTGCGGAAAAACCGGAAATCGCTGAAGTCCCAAAAGTAATAGCAATAATCTCCCAAACATGTGGAACGTTTTGATGTATAACTTGTGGAAATTGTTGAAAATGTGAAAGCTGTGAAACGTGTCAAAAAAAATGACGGAATAAAGAAATACAAAACCAATGGTTGACTGCGGAAGGTTCCGCAGTCAATCAATAATCTCCCAAACATGTGGAACGTTTTGATGTATAACTTGTGGAAATTGTTGAAAATGTGAAAGCTGTGAAACGTGTCAAAAAAAATGACGGCATAAAGAAATACAAAACCAATGGTTGACTGCGGAAGGTTCCGCAGTCAATCAACTAGAAATGGTACAATGGCTGAAGCCATTGTGAGTGGCTGCATAGATGTTGGAAGGGTTAGGGATGAAGAAGGAAGAGG